ATAGTATATATATATATATATAATTTATATCATAGAAAACATCTCTTATGCTCACCAAGGCTGCATTTATTTGATCAAAAAGCACAGTCATTAAAACAGTCAAATTAGTAATCTTGCAATGTAACATAAATTAAAATGTAATTTATTCCTGTGATGTAAAGCTGAATTTTACAGTCTTCAGTGTCACATGATCCTTACTTGGGGCTCAAAAAAACATTTCTTATCTTATTCAAAGAACAGCATTTATTTGAAATGGAAGTCTTGGTTACACTTTAATTTAAGGTGTTTGTGTTATAGTGTAATTCTACATTTAAGTACTGGGTAATAATAAACTACACATATTACTTTAGGGTTAGGGTGTGATTTGGTTAGTTTGCATGCAGTTTGCTCTGTTTATAGGAATGACTATAGTAACTACGTGTAATGTGTAATCTAGGAGACTGAAAAATACAGTGTTACCGAAATAGCATTAAAAAAGTCTTTACTGTCTATTTTGACATCAATATTATTAGAATACCTTTCAAAGCAATTTCCTGTCCAGCTGATAAATGATGAAAACATTGACAGCCAATCAGAATCTACATGAGCCTGCGGCAAACGTGCACTTATAATAAAAAATAATTATTATTGTCTGTTAGTGTGGATGCCAAAAGTTATCATGATAGTTATCTTGTTGCGAATGGGCCTTAAAACTCTTCATTTAATAATTATTATTATTATTATTATTTATTAATACAGAAAATAATAATTGTAAAAAAATATTAATTCTTTTTTTTTTTTTAAATATCATACTGACACGAAACTATATATTACACATAATATTCCTCAAATAAATTCACAAATAAAATTAGAAAACACGTTGGTCATTGACAAGGCTGTCAGTAGTTTGGAACGGACCTTAGATATAATCACTTAATCAGCCAATGACACACAGTCCAAGGAGGTAATCTCATCACAGTCTGAATACTTAACCTGAGCACAGCTAACATCAGCACTAATTAACATATGACCATCCAAGTTTACATTAGGTGTTTGACACTTAAATAAAAAAATCAATCAATCAATCAATCAATAAGATTTGAAAACATATTTGAAATCTTTATATCAATATATTTTTTATTTATGTTCATGCACACATTATTTTCTAAAGCTCAATAAATGAAGAAGCAGTTTGTCTAAATAAGATGCAAATGAAACAATTATGATATTGAGATATTGTATTGAAAGGTACTTTATGAGACCCTAAAGGTCAAAAAGTGCAGCCTTATGAAGGAGAGTGTGAACAATGCCGCATTTATTTTGCAGAGGTTATCAGGGATAATTTACATATACAGGTTTTAAAGGTCAACAGCTGTTGAACAGTATAATGAAAATAAACGACAACTTTCTGGCAGAAGAAATCCTGATTACCAAATGATTTAAAATTACTTTTTTGGGTTTTTGGGTACAACATAGACTTTCTTGTGTCTAAAGGTAGTTATAATCTCTCATTTCCCAAAATCACCTCACATTCTTGAAAAACTGCAGGTCTTTTTATTTTCATAGTGTCAATAAAAAAGGACCGTAAAGGTCAAAAAATCTCTTAGCACCTGCAAATATGCACACACACACAAGTGCAAACACCTAATCTGTTCCCCCTCCCAACACGTTCAGTTTCTGTCTCTCTCTCTCTCACTCACTCGTGCTTTGTTAATAGTCTGTCTGACACTCACTCACACACACACACACACACGCACGCACACAAACTGACTGGCTTTCATCCCGTGAGTGAGCGTCTGTCTCTTCTAATCTCTCTTTCTCTCTGACAAGTACACTGACATACATACAGTGTTAATTTTTGACAACGAAGGTTGGATAGTGATACAGAAAAGAGGGCCAGGGAGATTATACTAGAAAAAGAGAGATAAAGAGAGAAAAAGGATGGTGTGTGTGTGTATGTGTGCAGGTCACTGTGATAGAGCACCACTGCTGACTCAGTGCTATTCTACAGCAGAGAAAGTCACAAGCAGATCTGTGTGTGTGTGTGTGTGTGTGTGTGAGAGAGAGAGAGAGAGAGAGAGAGAGGAGAGGGGGGGACGGGACCAGAGTGTGTGTTCAACCCACAGGAAAATGTATTGCTCAGAGGTTCTTTCATACCCTATGCTTCTGAGTTACAATTCATTTAAGTTTCTCCTAGTAGAACAGCAAACAAATTAGATTATTGAGAGACATGTAGTGATAGTATAGACTTATATAATTAATGTATATTAATTAATTAGGGATGGGCAATGATTAATCGCATCCAAAATAAAAGTTTGTGTTTACATAATATATGTGTGTGTAGTGTGTATAATTAATTTGTATATATAAATACCCACACATGCATGTATATATTTAAGAAATATTTGCATGTATATACTTTATATATATTTATACATAATTAATATTATATATAAATATATGATGTATTAATAACAAATTTTTCTTAAATATATACATGCATGTGTGGGTATTTATATATACAAATTAATTATACACACTACACACACATATAATATGTAACAACAAACTTTTATTTTGGATGCGATTAATCGCGATTAATCGTTGCCCATCCCTAGGGATGTTTGTTTGGCATGACTTTATATACAATGTTAAGGATGCCATGGTATATCCATGCCACAATGCGAAAGTTAGATTTCATGTAGTGTTTTTGTGAATGTAAAAGGTCTGCAAGTTTTACACATCAAACATATTCTGACAATTATCCAAATTGATTCAACTTATGATTCCGATGCACTGAAATTGAGTCACTCTCACAAACTGAATGCCATTTTTTGGAACATAATCACAACTATTTAGCAAAATATGCTTCATATATTTGCACATCACGTAATTAAAGATTTACTAAACCAATAGCTCAAAATATGAATTTGTTTGTCATGTATAGGGAATTAATGATCATGTATGTTGCTGGTAGCCAATCAACAGCGCCAATTTCAGTTACACACTCTATCACTTATTTTATAATGTCTTCAAACATGGTTCACCACATAATATTTATAATGTGCGACTATTTGAGTCCAAAGTGTTTCAAAATCTGAAGCCGTGTCTGCAGTAATACCAAAACTAATTCATCTAAATTCATAAAAAGTTATCACGTATTTTGGTTTGCATCAATTTATTTAAAAAAATATTAACTATTAAACTGTTTTCAACATTAATAATAAAACCAATAGGATCCAACTTGTGTGTGGGAGGCTGAGGCAGGCGTGTGTCATTGAGAGTGAAATAAAATAGAAGCGAGATGTGTAAAAACGAGAAAATAGCATGAAAAGAGGAAATAATGAGTTGTGTGTGTGTGTGTGTGTGTGTGTTGGCAGAGACAGATGAAGAGAGGAATTACTGTAAAATTGCTCTTTCGTTCTCAGATGTTGCTGCAGAAATACCTTTTATGATATATAAAAAACACTGCCCATCTCACACACAAACTTGGATTGTTTTATCAGACAAAGCTATATGAATGGAGGAAGGTCACACACTCCTTATCTCTGCAACCTGTTGATCAAACAGAGCTCTGTTGCCACAGTTACCCACTCCACATAATGCAGAGTAACCCACAGAAAGACACAGTCGGTGAGATGCCATCATAAACGAAGTTACATAACCGTAGCGGCACAAATGACTGCTTTAACGTCTTTGATCTGCCGTCTGGAAGAAAAGGTAACGTGAGGTAAGGGAAGGTCATCTTTATTATCCCCAAGGGGCAATTTGTTTCACAGCCAGCAGTAAACCATACAATCAGCAAGAACAAACACTCAACGCCACACACACAAAGAAGGGAAACATTACCATATAAATAATTTAGCTAGAATAATTAACAAAAACAAAGGCAACTGGTACAAAAAAGGATTTTTAAACCTATTAGTACGGTAGATTAGTCCACAAGTTCAGTAAAAAATACATGCGCTAGTGGGCTTCCACATGAGCCTCAAAAGTCAACTTTTCATCCATTACAGACAGTACTAAGGTATTTAAACTGATGTACAACCTCAACAGCATGATCATTAATAATGACAGTACGATTCTTCCCGAAATCTATAATCATCTCATTAGCTATAAATACATTGATATCCAAAAAGGAAAAATTGCACCAATCAATAAAATCTGCCAGTACAGAACCATGATCAGTCAGTATCCTGATTATTAAAGCGTTAGTTCACCCAAAAATTTAAATTATGTCACCCTCATGTCGTCCCAAACCCATAAGACTTCGGGACACAGTTTAAAAGAGAACTCTGGTGCAAAATGAACCTTTGGTCTAATAAAACATCGGTACACTCTAAAAAAAGCTGGGTTGTTTTAACCCAATTTTGGGTAAAATATGGACAAACCCAGTCATTGGGTAAAAAATGTAATTTAAAAATGTAACCCAATGGCTGGTTTTGTCCATATTTTACCCAAAATTGGGTTAAAACAACCCAGCATTTTTTAGAGTGTACCTAGTCAACTGTTCTCTCAGATTTGTTTTCATGATAATCGAATGTAAAGAGTTTTATCTCTAAAAACTGTTTAGCATATAATGGTAGTACTGGGGGCATTTACAAAGTATAAAGAAATCGCTAGTTTATACCACTAACAAGGCTCAAAATAGCCCCACACTAACACAGTGATATGAGGGTCCATACATGCATAATAAAACTTTATAATACTTTATACTCCGTTTATACAGGCAGCGCCATCTTAAAACCAATGAAAACGTGTATTTTTCAATCATTCAAGAATCATTTCAAAAATTCATATTGCAATCAGTCTTTGCTTCTCAATATATTTATTTAATATAGTCATATTTTATTAGACAACATCTCCTTAAATAAAAACAACCAGACTGATAAAAACCACAACTCTGACTCCATAAATCCAGCCAATCAGTTTCAAGCCCATGCCATTTTTGCGTATAATATGCATCAGAGGGTCTGTGTATAGTGTGAGTGGCAGTACTTTCATGGTTTGTGTGGACTCACCAGGGCGGGTTGCAGTCTCCTCTTCTCCTGGGCGCTGCCGCTGCCGCTTGAGCCGGTTCTTCTGGCGGCCCAGACCAGTTCCTGCTCCAACAAAACCACCTCACATTCCTCTCGAAGTCTCCTCCACTTCCTCTCCGCGCTCTGCTCGCCGTCCCAGTGCACACACACCTAACGTATAGAGACAGAGAGAGGGTTGGTTGCGAATGTATGTGCGGACACAGAGGAACATGTGCAGATGCATATACAGTGCATGCGTGTTCACAATTAACTTGATTGATGCAGCTAATTAACAAACCATCCAAAAGTGATAAACCTAGTAAATTAGAAACAAATGTCAACACACCAAAAGCATACGTAACCACATAACCACTTGCACAAAACACGCTCACACACATGAAACTATCTCAGACACACACACATCAGACAACACAGTGATGTCTATTTCACTCCAGCTTTGAATTCAATGATGTCACCCAGTGTCATCATCACAGCGTCACAAGCGCTGCTTCTGACTGATGACTGAGCCAGACAAAATTAAAACATCCAGCCATCCAGCTCTAAAGCAGCTTGACAATATTGCTCAATCTGTGGCAGATCTGAATCACACATCACCAAACAGAAACTCACTATTAATATAGCACTGATCTAGCCTCACTCGCAGTGATTCAGAATTCATTAGCAGGTTTAAGGGTATAAAGAGGTGGAGTATCTCTACTTCTCATCTGTGGTCCGTGTGGAAAGGGAATCCAGCAGGACCGGTAATAAACAGATATGGGTTGATATAATTTGAGAATTCTGGGTGCATTTGAATGATTTTATTGGAATGTTTGAAAAGCATTTTTTTGCATTTAAAAGTTTACTTTAGAATATATATATATTTTTTACATTTCAGAATTTTTGGACATTTTAAGTTCTAAATGCACATCACACCTACATTTGCATAATTGAGCATTTAAACATTCAAATCAAATTTTAGAATGCCCAAAATAATTTAAATTCAACATTCTGGATCATACATTTGAAAGGTTGAATCAATTTTGATTAACCTTTCAAACGTATGATCCAGAATGTTGAATTTAAATTATTTTGGGGGATTCTAAAATTTCATTTGAATGTTTAAATGCTCAATTATGCAAATGTAGGTGTGATATGTGCATTTAGAAATTCGAAATGAACATTTGAATGATCGATACAGAAGTTTTGGATATCATAGGCCTTTTTAATTTGAACGTTTGATTCTGTATTATTTGGCCAGCATAGTCGCGCTTGAACTTAAACTTTAAAATGTTCAATTTAACATTATGGAAATTTGTGATCAAATGGTACAGCAACTTCCAAAGTCCCAGATTTGATTTCCAAGGAACTGAGAAAATGCATAGCCTGAAAACACAATAGGATGCTTTGGGTAAAAGTGTCAGCCAAATACATGCATGCTAATTACAATATTCAGCATTTTTGGATATTCTGGATATGTTTGTATCTTTGATTTAAATGTTCCCACTGGGAGATGTGGTTCATTGAGCGATTTTCACATTAAACTAAATGTTACTCTTCTTTTTTATGACAAACTGCAACTTTCTTGACTTTCAGAATTGTCTTTTAAATTGAAAAATATCAAATGTGTAATTCAGGGCACAGTTCAGACGTCTCTCGCCATTGACTTCCATAAATATTTTTTCCGAAATAAGGTCCCATGAGCCGGAAGCGGATGGACTTAGGCTCTCTCTCTGACCAATCAGTGACCTGCAGTGTTTACAAGTCACATTTTAGTATCGATAAGACTCGCTTGGAACCTAAATCGAGGTGGTACTAAAAAAAAAACTAAAAAAAAACAAGTACTAAGTACTGTACACAGTGGAAACTACTGTGAGCTGTGCCATGCAGTGGATGGAAAAATCACTATAATAAATAACTATAAGTACCTTTGCAATGCCATTAGAGTATTAGTAATCTGCTTAATATCTGCTAACACTTTATTGTGTTGCTCCCCAAAAAACATTCTACCAACTATAGTAACTTTGCAACTAGTATATCAGTTAACTACATGTAAACCCAACCTTACAGTCTACTAAAACTCTAATGAGAGTTAGTTGATATGTAGTTGCGAAGTTACTTTTATCGAGTAGAACGTCTAAAGTGGACTATCAAAATAAAATGCAACCAAATCAAACATTCACTACATTCATCTTGTGATTCTGAAATGCTTTTGGAGACATAAGACAGTTCACCTTTCATTTAATGTATTGCAAACTTCACACATTATTAAGCGTACCGATGCGCCTCTGTGTGCCAGAGATGGTTTGTCTCACACTCAACAGAAAGAGATTGCAGGGACACATGTTGTCATTGATCAAGATCCTCTGAGAGTGAGAGAGAGAGAGAACAGAGAGGAGAGAAAAAGGACCATTTTTGAGTTGCTATGCTACCAACATCGCTGTCTCTCCGTCTCCCTCAACTCGTCTTTCATCCTCACCTTTTCCCTTCATCTTCTCACGGTCTCTTTCACACACAGACGCACTCAAACTCTCTCTCTCCCAGTGTAAGGATGCATGTCGGACACTGAGGAGATTTATGTGCACTCTTGCCATTATCTCGGAGATGTGTGTGTGTGTGTGTGTGTGTGTGTCTGCCTGACCGAAAGTGTGTATAAAAAGGGCGAGCGTGAACGATAAACAGTAATTATTCATTTAGAGGAGATCATGAGTCATAGGAACCAGTCCTACTGCCTTCTGAATCCACACACACACACACACACACACACACACACACACATTTACACTGAGCTTCATCTGTCCTGCCAATGTAAAATGTGTCTACAGTCACGTTAGGTTGTCATTTTTCACAGCGGCTGTTTTTTTCTGCCGTGCGTGTAATTATGATGATGTATGTATGCCTTCTTTGTGTGTGTGTGTGTCTCAGATGGTATTTTCTGCTATACGTGTGTGTGTGCCGAGCTGTTCGGCCATGAAGCGCCGACAAGCTGTAACAGGTCAGAGAAGTGCTTCACACACAGTCACATGGGCGCACACACACACACATGCATACAACTCACAGGCACACCTGCAAATCAACTCAAGCATTGCATACTCACACTTCTGCAGTATCTCTTATTGACAGACTGCAGGAGAGAAACATTTACACACACACACTCTCTCTCTCAGTAAACACTTCCCTCAGGCTCGTGGGAGGGAAACATTCACAGGCATCAGATTTCAGCCTGGACCACAGCCAACGCTCAGGCAGAAATGTGCTCATAGCATCAGCATTCACACACACACGACCTGACACTGCCTTCCTGTCTGACAACAAACCACACACTCTTTTTTATACGGGTGGTTTTTGAAGAGATGTACGTGTAATATTCTGCTAACCGTAATAATCTGTTCCAATCATTTCTGCAACACAAGTGAGGAGTGAAACGAGATGGGTCTGGTTGTGTTCCTGATGAAACCGACACTGTGTGTGTGTGTGTGTGTGTGTGAGAGAGAGAGAGAGAGAGAGAGAGGGACTGTGTGAGGGTCTGGTTGTGTTCCTGATGAAACCGACACTGTGTGCGTGTGTTTGTGTGTGTGTGTATGTGTGAGAGAGAGAGAGAGAGAGAGAGAGAGAGAGAGAGAGAGAGAGAGAGAGAGAGAGAGAGAGACTGTGTGAGAGAGTGTGAGTGTGAGAGAGAGAGTCAGAAAAACTAAAGTCAGAATGCTGGTTCAAAACTGTCTTTTTTATATATATATATATATATATATATATATATATATATACATGTATTTCATGCATTTGTTTACTGATTCATTTACTGATTATTAGTTCTTTGCCTATGGCCAATGCTTTGGAAATACTGCATAAGTCATGCCAATAAAGCTCATTTGAATTTGAAACATTTGAAATAGTGTGACTGTGTGTGTGAGAGAGAGAGAGAGAGGATTAAGTTCACCTATATTATTACAATCAACTTGCTAATACAAAATATATACAAAAGACACGATAAATACATTAAAATAAATTACACTTTCCTTCCTTTTTTTCTCTCCACTGAGAGCGAGAAAATGAGAGAGAGAGAGAGAGAAAGAGAGGGAGAGAGAGAAAGAGTCTGGGGAATAAAAGCATGCTGCCGACATAGTAGAATGAGACTATCATGTGACTGTGTGAGCGTGTTCGTGTCTGTTGTACATACTGTGTCTTTAGCGCTGAGTGCAAACACACACACACATTCACAAACTCTGTGATCCACGGAGGCGCCTCACTGATCAATAATTTACTGAGCGTAGAGAGAGGAAGGAAAGGTGGGCGGGTGAGAAAGAGAGAGATAGACAGAACAAGAGAGGAAAAAAAGAGAGAGATGAAGACAGTGAAAATGCGCGTATGTTTATAAAGTCCACGCACAGCTACATGAACACACACTGTGTGACAGGCATGTTAAATTACTACAGCGAAAGCACTAAATATCATTATTTTCTGTGTAATTTACAAAGATTAAATTGCAAATGAATCACTGATGAACAGGATTTAAATAGTAATTTATATTAATTGAAAAGTAATTACGCAATTAAATTAAAGTGCAACACGAACACTGTGATGTAAAGCAAAATATTCTGATCTCATAGCATAGTACAGTGTTATTAATTAACTAAATGACATGCATTATATATTATGATCTGAACCCGTTTGAGATGAGGGTCTGGTGGATGCGAGCGCTGGAGTGTGTGTGGTTAGGTGTGGTGGAGAACTGTGTGTGTGTGTGTCATGTAGGTGTGACTGCTGGTGAACATAATGACTTGATGAGCTCGTTTTAGTGTGTGACAACAACAAAGAGGATATAGTGTGCTTTAATATCCTCCCATTACTCCTTCTTCCACAGGAGGAGTGTGTGTTGGACACCGGCCCCGTGACTGTGATTCTGTCATGCATAATATTCCACACTTTAAACAAACTCTCTCTCTCTCTCTCTCTCTCTTCTGTCTGCCAAATACATGCTCTCTCTCGCTTTCACACTCTCTCCTCCGCACATATAAAGACACGCAAACATTCACACAGATAGTGTGAGAGCTAAAGAGACGAGCACGCTTACACAAACATCCGAAACAACCGCACAGACACTGAACTCCCCGGGGCCCTGAAATCAAAAGACGAAGATGATTTCACAGATACTGCAGGACTAATAGGAGATTCTCTTTCACACAAACACACATCAATGCAAGTAATGCATCATCAGACGGAGAAATGGCAGAGTGGGAGTTAAGACAGCTTTGTATAGTAGTGTGTGTGTGTCTCAGCAAAGCTTAGATGTACAATCACACAGCCTGAGCTGGACTTCTTATGCATTTCAGGAGATAAGCTACAGCACACACACTACACACACACACACAAAATCTGTCTGCTCTGCAGAAGCACACATTGCTTCCCTGGCACAGCTTCAAACCATCTGCCAAAGGTCAAGGGTCAAATGAGAAGAAAGCTGTATATAGAGCAGACCGACACACATTTTGCAGGCCGGCAGACTTAGAGGGTCACACATATAAACAAGAATTCACACGTTAGGTCAACAAGGCATTAGAAAGGGAGAGAGATGGTTTAAAAATGTTTTCCTTCTCTCCGCATGAGCTGATGAAATTCAACCCGTGTCTCTGACACTGCAGAACCATATATCTGTGTCGGTGTGAGTGTGTGTGTGTGTGTGTAGACAGACACACACACGTGCAGAGAGCTGGAATACGGCCCTCGGTGTGAACACATGCACGGGTGGGGAGGGGAGTGCTTAAATAGAGCACAGTACACACACACACACACAACCAGAGAGAGAGGGGAAAAGACAAGACAGAGACGAGGCCAAGCAGAGACATCTGGCTTTAGTTAATGCAGTGCAGAACAGAATTAGAGTACTATCAGAGCGAGTCGATAAAACGCACGCAGATGAAATTAATAAATGTCTGCATCAGACGAACGAATCTCACTGCAATATACTTGTGCAATCCAAACAGAAACACTGTCTGCACAAATAAATACATCATAACCGTGTCTCAAGTGGGTTAGATTGCAAATATGTTAAATATTTTATAAGAATACAAGCGGCCGAGAGATATTGTGAATCAAGGTATGATGCGCATTACAATATACACACAATCACATTACAGGACTGTCTATTTGCTTTTCAATGTCTAATAGGACTGATTCGAGCTATATACATTAGGTATAGGGCTGTGCAAAAGTTAATTGCGATTAATCGCATCCAAAATAAAAGTCTGTTTTACATAATATATTTGAGTGTGCTGTATATAATTATTTTGTATATATAAATACCTATGCATGCATGTATATATTTAAGAATTATTTGTGCTTAAATTGTGTATATATATAAATACATAATCTATATTATATAAATATAAATATTTTATATAGGAATAACAGATTTTCTTAAATATATACATGCATGTGTGTGTATTTATATATACAAAATAATTATATACAGCGTGAACACAGACATTTATTTTGGATGCGATTAATCGCAATTAACTTTTGCACAGCCCTAATTAGGTTACATCGCAATTTATAACTATTTTATGTTTTAGCAAATCAGTGGCTAATTCTTAATTCATACAATCACCATTGTACGTTTTCGGATCTGCTTACATCCCAGTGATGTTATATTTAGGGGCGGGGTTTGGGATGCACATTCATGCTTACTTTTTTTAAATAAATTGTACCACCTTGTAAAATAGCTAAGTTTTCTGGTGAGACTGTTTAAAGGGTCATTTTAAAGTCTGATTGGTAGAAATAGCCCAAATTTTAATGTTTTTTTATGTATATGCATCATTATATACAAATATTTAAAGGTTATACAAATTTTGTTATTTTCCCTAATATCCTTCCAAAGACTTTCGTTCACCTTCTTCAAGACATAAATGATGATTTTTTTAAAAAATCCTAAATAAAATGTGTACAATATATGAAGTGATTGTCTCAGAAGACTTGGATTAAACCACTTGATTATTATGGATTACTTGCCTTTATAAACTTTTTGAAGCATACATATTTTACTTCCAAATGGATGAAGAGAATCTTTCATGTTTTAATAAAAACAAGTTCTGAAGATTAATGAACGTCTTTTGGAACAACGTGAGGGTGAGTATATGATGACAAAACCTTCATTTTTGGGGAAACCAGTTCCTTTTAAGTAAGTATACAAATCTAAAGCCATTATATTAATTACTATATTCAATTTTTCAACGTTTAATTGGTTGACATTTAGTTTAAAACAGCTATTCCATTTTGAACCATCAGCATCCAGAACTGCAACGGTCCTACATCACACGTTCCTTTACTATCCCATTAAAAGTTCCTGTAGTTTTAAAACTAAAAATAGTGCATAAGCTGTCAAGCCAGGACACATTGTAGATTGTTGGAAGTTAAAGTAAAGCAGTGCTTGTGATAAACCCATGAGTACATGAGAATACAGTGCAGTAAAACAACAGGTTGTGGAGGAAATGAGAAGCATTAGGAGATATCTCTCTCCCTCTCTCTGTGTGTGTGTGTGTGTGTGTGTGTGTGTACACTAACACGGCAGGAGGTTGTAACTCAGGGAAAGCTGTCAGTCACACGGCTAAGCCTCCGTTGCCACGGGGACATTGTCTAGCCAATGGTGTAAAAGACATGAATCCCCAAAGACAAATACACACTAACACACTTGCAGCGCGTACAATCTCATGAAACACAAAAACACATAAATACACCAGGAGAGGAAACCGACAGCTGTTCTGATAAACAAACCAAGCTCTCATGTACTGTATATTCCCAAGCTTTAAAAATACAGCTAACACAAGAGAGATTCTTCATAAAAGAAAGTGAGGACACTATAAATAACCTACTACAGTACTATAAGATTACAGTTTATCTCAAATAATTGACTGCACAGAGGGTGACCAACACTCATTCAGTAAGAAAATCCTGTTGGTGTGAGTTTACAACCAGAAAGACCTTCACACACACACCCTACACAAGCAATACCGCACCTGTACGGGAAAATGAATGACAGATATGCACACACATGAATCTGATCAACCAAGCCAGTAATAACCCGTCACACACTTTCTTTCTCTGTCATTCTCACACACACACACACACAGCTGGGAGCAGACGACGATGCACATAAACACTGACATCAGAGAGAATGAAAAAAAACATCATACTAATTCTCTCTCGCAGCCCATTGAAATACACTGTATACATTTGATTTACACTTTAAATGACAATAAAGATCTGCCACGATCAGTGCGATCCTCCGAGAGTGATCTGCTCTTCCGCTGAGCACTAGTTTTAGAGGAAAGTGTGCCTTTGACCCTCATGATTAGCTTCACGGTTGTAAAAATGCAAATATTGTCTATACTGCAGCACACAGGGTGCCGGTGGAGATTCAATCCAATGAAACTGTAATGCCTTTCCTGGAGTCAACATGCATTTAGTAACACGCAGGGTTCCCACAGCTCTTCAATAATGAATATCCATGGCTTTTCCAGACGTTCGCGTTGGCTTTATGGATTAAAAAAAATAGCTTTGGTTCTCAACAAGCATCTTAACAGATTCAACAGATAGTTAGTGCATGCATATATATATATGTATGCATGTATATATGTATATAACACTTTCACACACACAATTTCTATTACTTTTCAATTTCTAAATTCCTATTTATTAAGTTTTCCATGACTGTAGGAATCCTGAATGTGGATACACACCAGCATTTATGGTATAAAATGCTGGCAAATGCACATTACATGATGTTGTGTAATTGAGTAGCCTACTATTGACTGTTTACAGTATGTTCAATAAATGCAAGGTGTATCCTTTCTTTCTCAAAATATGTTTCAAGTAAATATCAATAATATATGAAGATAAAAAGGAAACTCCTCGCGATGAAGCTTTCTCAGTGCTGTGGTGGAGTGATGAGTGATGGAGTCATTAGGCGCTACAGCGGCAGTGCAGTAAACTCACAACAGCTGATTAGTCTGAGTGAAGCCACACACACACACACACACACACACACACACACACACACACACACACACACACACACACACACACTCTCTCTCTCTCTCTCTCTCTCTCTCTCACACACACACACGCGCGCGCGCTCGCTCCCTCACCCACAGACTCTCTCTCACACACACTCACACTTGTTTTTTCTCTATCATAGTAACACGCCCAGCCTCATAGTAAAAGCCAACTGAATGTTTGTTAGCTAAACAACTGACATAAACAAATAAACAAACGTATCAGCTTTCAATACTATCAACGTTCACCGTCATACCAGTAGTTCCGTCAAACTTTTCATCTGACAAACAAGATAAAGGCAAGTTATACCAAATTAAAGGGCTAAAAACGAGCGTATGTTTTTACAGTTCTCCTAAATAACAGTAGTAAAGTAAGCAAGTGAGTGTTACCGTCAGCAGAGCAGGCGTGTCAGAGGTCGCGCAGATGACTCCGGATCTCCAGTCCCAGCGCGAGATGCTCGCGAGCTCCAGAGACCCTCCGCCGCTCGCGCACAGGCAGCGCTTGCCCACCAGCTCCAGCGCCATGGTCCCGCGAAAAGTGCGAGAAATGTCCGCCGACAGCAAACAAACTTCCTCCTATTGTGTGCTACGTTGTTGACACATGATTAAAATATGGTTATTAAAAGAAGATTATTGTGTGTTTGAGTACAGAAGGTTTAAATTCCCTGCGTACGTTCTCAAGCGAACGCTGATGTCTCTGTGCGCCGAGAAACTGATTTACACTGGGAGTAGTAACAGTCATTATGGCTCTCCCTCACTCACACACTCACTCTCTCTCTCGCTCGCTCGCTCGCTCGCTCACTCACTCACTCGTGGTATTCATCCGCTACTGGTTAAAGCACACAGGGCTATCAAACCGCAGCGAGCGAGTAGACGTGTCCGTCCGCCAAAGTTGAGTTCAATCGTCTTTTGGAGGCACTGCCACATAAAAGTAGTCCCTCGTCTGCGCTTAATACCTTACACTCAAACTTCTTAATCGCATTTTAATATGACAATTGTCTTTGATTGTTTAGGAAACTGCAGTTTTACCACAAAAACTAGTCTCTATCTTTTTTATTTATTTATTTATCTATCCTACCACAGTTTACCAAACTGTTTTGCTCTGAGAATATTCCCAATACAAGTTACAACTACACCTGAATTATTTGTATTACTTGAATATTTCTTTTAGCAACCCCATAACCGCTAAATTTCACACACCACAAATGAATGAATAACCTTATGGACCTTTGAGCTTTGGAAAATTATAAATGAACACTAGGAGCATTTTACAGTGGATGCCATATATTGGAAACAAGGCCGCTGCTCTGAATAAGATCATAAGATCTATGGGCAACTAACTTCTGTATTCTGTAAAACAGGTTGGATCTCTTCTGGTTCAGGTATTTTGTATGTCGTTTCCTCTCCAACATTCCAATATTAAAATTGAACAAAACTCCAACAATAAAAGTCCATAGATAGGTTTGTACAGTTCGGACCCACCAGTTCGTACAGTTTTTAAAACTTTCTTCGACAAGCGGATGCAATGAGACATGGACTGCATCTGAAATCGCATACTTCCCTACTATATACAGTATGCGACAAACAGTATGCCCATAGAGTAGTATGTTCGAATATTTGAAAAACAGGTGAAAATTACCCAAGACGACCAACTACTTCTGGGGAAACTCTGAAGTGTGCATACTACAGTGCTTTACTATCCCATGAGGCCACAGGAGAGGATTTATGAATGGCAGTGAAGCGACATAACTGATGCTGGCAGGTCACATGATAAGGGCACATGATAAAAAAGTATATTACATTCATACTAACTACACACATTTATATTATATAGAAATAGGCCTACTTTTTAGTAGCCGTGAAGTAATTACTTATTCAAAATAAGTACCTACTCAAGAATGTAAGAGATTTCACACACAGTTACATTTACAAATCCTCTCCCGTGGCCTCATGGGATAGTAAAGTGGTATGCACACTTCAGAGTTGAGTAGGTCATCTGGGTACTTCTTGCCTACTCTTTTATGAGTAGGCTACTGTGAATTCAGACACTTCTTATGTCACATAAGCCTACAGTTTTTCACCTACAAAATCCAATTTTGGATTTTTTTGCCAGTTTTACCAAATTTTCTTTTTCCTTTCAGAATGAATAAAAACAGGGGAACTGCAGTCTAATCTCATTCACCTTGCATATGTGTTTTATTCTAAAGTATTCTCACTATTTTGTTGAATTTGTTCTGTAATTTGACCTGCAACACTCTAAAAAATGCAGGGTTGTTTTAACCCTAATTTGGGTCAAATATGGACAAACCCAGTCATTGGGTTGGGTTTGTTCAAATTTGGGTTAAAACAACCCAGCATTTTTAGAGTGTATGATCCGTTGGGTACAGTCATATGTATAATGTTTCTAAAAACTGCTGTTATTGGATAATTCTGTATTTAGTCAATCACATGACTAAAGTGTATACTTGGAGTGGTTGATGTCATTGCGCATGAATGGTGTTGTCATGTGAATGTTAAAAATAAACTGACTTACGCAAGTATCCACCATACATATCCACACTCTGGAAACCCCTCAAATCTTAGACCATATAATCTCAGTTTTTGAATGTTTAGGAAATTTAACTGTCATTCGTTGGAAATGCACTAAGGAGATCACATGGAATTTGGAAGTAGGCCTGACTGTCTACAAAAATTTTCGGAATATTTACATTTATATGAATATAGCAAATGATATGTAACAATAACTTTACGAAATGTAAGGGTCCAGTTCTCAGTTTGTACCAGACAAGTGCAGTAACAGACAATACACTATTTACAGCTGTGGTTATTCTGCCACCTGCTGGTTATAAGTTGCGATGCATGACTTGACTTAGTGTGCTTATGTAGCATGTCTGGAACGGACTCTTTAACCCAAATGACCACACGACCACACAGCGATGAGATCCAATGTTTTTCCTTTTTAATCTGTAAACAGAGAGATCATCAGTGGATCAACGGGGCTTCAGCTTCTCTCTCTCTCGTGTAACACTCAGTAACATTCATGGAGAGAAGCAACATTGCGTGCGCTCACGAGCCTCTCACTCAGGTAGACTGAGGCTATTACAGACCTTTTAAGAAAAATAAATAAATAAAACATGTAAATAAAATAATAAATGTTACGCATTCATAATCCTCCTTGTGACATATCACATTAGTACTCTTATTAATACACTACAATAATGTATAGTACATCAATTTTATACTAAATTACATGACCATAAGCATTAATTCAAGTATTTATATGCATTAATTCAGATATTTATATAAAATAACATGCTATGAAAAACAATCAATAAATTATAATATAATTTGTAAACATAAATCCAAAAGAAAAGCTCAATGCACATTTAGCAGCATACCATATGCAGGCCGCACCACGTGCGTCACGCACGAATCTGATTCGATTCCCCGATAACACTCTTAATACAGTACATATTTATTAACAGTCAACCAGATCTCTTTCCTTTCACAAAACAGAACTAATTAAACAACACACCTGTAAACAGAGAGATCATCAGTGGATCAACGGGGCTTCAGCTTCTCTCTCTCTCGTGTAACACTCTGTGCATAAGATACTAATCAGTTAGCACCATAATGAGTTGTATAAACTCGTACTACTACACACATTCATCACGAGTAACACACTCAAATGATTAAGCACACTCAAATCACAATTATTGAGCAATAATTATGCCTTCAGACAATAAACATCATCATACCAGTAACATTCATGGAGAGAAGCAACATTGCGTGCGCTCACGAGCCTCTCACTCAGGTAGACTGAGGCTATTACAGACCGCACGAGGAGAAACCCCGGAAGTGTTCCACCGATGACGCTCCCTCCCCAAACAAACACTCAGGGAAAAGTTCCGCTATTTTAACGTTATGTTCTCTTACTCATGAACAATAATGTGAACAAAATTTTGTGAGGTTCATTAAGCCATTCTAAATACAAAAATAGGAAAACTTAAACAGTAAAATACAGAAAAAAAATAATACAATAAAAAACAAGTCAAAGGTTAATTTTCACCAGTTACATTCTCCACCCTGAACTTCACAAATTTTGTCTTATACAGGGATTGTATACACTGGAGCTATTTAGACCAACTGTTTTCCAGAACATGGTGCAACAAAATGTTTCCCACTCGCAGGGAAGGTGTGTACATAAGGTTGATCAGGCCCACTGCAATCACCCGCAAAAGGTGCCTTAAACACCATTCATCTCAACTTAATCTTGGATCTGGAACAACAAATGTGCTGAAATGCACTGACTCACAGAGACTTAACCTTAAAACTTAAAGAAAACAATATTGTATTACAATGTAATGGTTTAATACAATACATTCTTATTTCAATAAAGATCTTACAACCCCACCAACTGGATTCAGTGTTCTGATAGATTGAGCCATATTCTCTATCAACCTGTTGACAGGTCTCACCATCCTACCCACTCTGGTTCGAACTATCGCTTCTCCTTGACTAGGAAGTGGCTCAACAACTCTAGCAGGTGAAACGCAACGGTCATCATGGAGAACTGCCTCAGAAAGCGAACTGCAAGAATCACTACTCAGTCCTTCATCTGGAATGACTACATTGCTGTTTCCTTTGGTATAATCATCTTTTGACGACAATTGCTCCTGAACCAATGACTCGGGGACTACATCCAATGAACCAGCACTATCAGATCTGTAGGACAATCTCTGCTGAGGATCTTCAGAAATTGTGGTTCTTTCCACCCAACTGGCAACTCGGTCAGGGACAGAACACATCTCAGCTGCAGAACTAACATTATCCAAGGATGCACTCCTGCTTCCAAGGACAGATTCACCACTATCCCCAGGTGATTCAGGACCTCCCAACTCGAGCGGCAAGAAGTTGGCTTGCAACAGCAAATTACGATGAACAGTTTTCTCCTGGCCCGTTTTGGTGTTACGAATGCGATAAATGTGGCACTGGGGGTTCAGCGCTACTACCCTATAGGGTGTGGACTCCCACCTGTCTGCTAATTTTCTTTTCCCACGTTCACCTTTGTTGGCCAGGAGAACTTGATCACCCAACTCAATGTTACAGCCCTTCGTCTTCCGGTTGTACAACTCAGCCTGACGCTGCTGACTGGCATCAATGTTCCCCTGAGCGACGGTCATAGCCTCTTTCAAATTGTCTTGCAACCTTTTCACATACTTATCGTAATCAACAACATCACAGTCTCTGTCAACATTGCTAAACATCACATCCACGGGTAGCTTCGGGATCCTACCAAACATTAAATAGAATGGAGCGTAGCCAGTGGACTCGTGCGCTGTACAATTGTATGCGAACGTTAGTGTCTGAAGCAACTGTGACCACTTTTCTTTAGACCTCGGCGGCAGTGCTCTGACCATGTTACCCAAAGTTCTATTGAACCGTTCAACGACGCCATTGCCCATCGGATGGTAAGCAGTTGTTCTTGACTTTTTCACTCCGGCAACCTGCAGCAATTCTCGGATCAGTTGGCTCTCAAAGTTGGCCCCCTGATCCGAGTGGATCCTGTCAGGGAAGCCGTACACACAAAAATATCGGTCCCACAACTGACGGGCTACCTGCTTTGCTGACTGATCACGACATGGAAAGGCATGTGCCATACGGGAAAAATGATCAGTTACGACCAACACGTCCACATTACGGCCTTTGGAGCTTTCCGCGGTCCAAAAATCGATACATACTAGCTCCA